CAACTTTCAAACCAGAATTACTTTTCTGAGGATTCGATGCTGAAATTTCGATTCGTATACCAGTATCATATTCGCTTGACAAAACGTTCTTTATTAGTTTCGTCCAACTTGAAAGTAGTTGCACGTATATATAAGTGTAAATTAAATTAAGGTTCCTTTCACATATTTCTCAGTTTATAATTTAGTGATCATGTCATGTTTAGTATGATCTGATGATCTTGTCTATCCATATTAATAAGAGAGTTCATTAGTCCAATCATTGCTGCACTCAGTGATTTTAGGAAGTAACAGAAACAAAGTAAATTAAATGTGTAATATAATATCGAAAATTTCTTGGTGACTAAGGCATAGAATTGAAAATGTTTAATAAAAATTCAGGATGATAGTATGTAAACTAGATAACTGGGTGGGAGGGAAAAAGATGTGTGAAGTTCATTAGCGATGTGATGACACGAATTAAATAGAAGCATCGTCATGTCACCTTGGAAACCACTTTAGTCTTTTAATCATGTAAAAACATCCACATATTTGAAAAGCTGATGAAAATAATGACACCCTTGAAATCGCTCCAAACAATTTATCTTCCGCATTTTGTCATCATTTAAATGAATAAACAGTATTTAATATTGATAAGAAATCGAGCTCTTCAAATTGTCATAAATTATTTGGAATTTTTGAAATTCTATTTTGTAGTGAATGTTTCAATGTCCGAATATATGACTGCTTCTTTCTTATTCATTTTAAATTCATATTTCATTATGCATCTGTTTTCCTGATACCAAGAGCAATCAGTACAATCGTTTCCTGTATTTTTCGTTTCATAGCATATATAACCGAAGGTGCAAGGAACCGATATATAACCGAAGGTGCAAAGTTTGGAAGTTCCTCGAGTCATGTTTGTCTGGAAGGCCATTTTCACGTTAACCCATAGTACCATTGATGATGTATACATATAAAGAATAAATGATAAATAATAAATAACAATGATAATAATTAGTAGTAGTAATAATAATAGTAGTATCACAATTATAACCTTCTTGCACCCAAATCGGTTGGTCCAATAGAAGACGACCATTAATCGCTCGTTCCTTGTGCAGTGCTGCTTATCGACCTCTTCCGGTGGTTGTCGAGGACATCATCATCATATCCATTGTTTTCCTCCTTTTGCTGCTGTTGCTACTACTATTACTGCATCCTCTCCCTTTCACTTCCCTGAACTATACATATAGAGAACTGCAGCAGCACTACTACGTGACGCATGTGTAAATACCGTTGTCGTGCCTACTTTTTCTGGATTACCCGATAACGTAAATTTGATATCGTTTGCGCAATATATCCTCACTTTACTGAATTTTCTTGCTGATACCAAACAACAACAGCAATGATGACAGGTGCACCACCATCAGTTTTAAAGTCTATGGTCGACAAACCAAGGTTTGATTTCCATCTTTTACGCGCTCAGCATGGATATTTATCAGAGCTAATAGAAATTAGCGTAAAAACGTAGCATATGTTACGTCAATTCATAACTCTAACAATAAGTGTCACGAAATACGTAATACAGTCGTCGTTTCACCTCAATAATGCTAAACATCAGAAAACCCTGACACTTTACATAAATGCTTAAGCCTTTTCTTGTACCTATTACAAATGTAACTTCAGGGCAAATTCATAAACAAATGCCGTTTTACAAACTGGCGTTTGCGTATATTTCGTATTTTAATTTCATGGCATTGTAGATATGCGCAAGATGAAATCCTCCAATATGTGCAGCTTTCTCCAGATGAAGATTATTGTATTCCATCAACAGCAAGATGCTTTCCGGAGCAGTATGTACGATGGTATATCCATACAGTTTTTTCTTATGACCTGTGATTCCTTGAAGTTAGCATAATCTAAATTTATCAAATGTCGGTGTTGCCGTGTGTACCACCACTTTACGGGTGCAGAATGCTTGTATTACAGAAGCAGGTTTGGAAAATGGAAAATTTGTTTTGTTAGTAAAATTTGTTAGACCCGTGGAAAATGTGTTAGTCTGCTTTCTAGAAATTATGAATTTTTTTGTACATTTAATTTTCCGAAAGATTTCACAAATTTTGTTCAAAAGCTCAGTGAGATTTCGTTACAAGTCATTATTTTGCAGTCAACTGTCATTTGAAGACCCACAGATGGACAAGCTGTATCGGGAAACGAATGAAGCAATGTTCGAAGTACGTACTATCTTAACGGTTTTCTTTATTTTACGCTTAGATGAAGGCAAGTTGTCAGTATTTAAAAATACAATAAATATGTCACTGGAATAGATATATAAAGGCCAATTCTTTTTATTTGAAAATTATTCCTGTGAACGTTTTTTATCATTGCAAGGAAAGGGAAATTTTCACACATTTTGGAGTTCGATGCTTTATTGTAATAATCGACTGTTTATAGTAACTTATAGTAACCTTATTCTATAAAATTATAGTAACCTTATTCTTCAGTTTGGATTTGAAAAAAACATCTATCTCATTAAACATCGTGTATTATAGGTATATGATTACCTGACCTTGAAGTTAGAAGCAATGTTCAATGGAAAATCGGCATGTTGTTTCTATATATCGTAAATAATTGATCACCCTACCGATAATATTTTAATGACTTTATGTCAGTACGAAAGGGTTAATGCACGTTGCTCTGCGTTTCCAAAAATTGAGTTTTGCAGCATTTGTTTCCACAGTTGTTCACGAAAGAATGGGAGAGTCATTATTCCTCATTTTGTCCAGAAAATGATTTGAGGGAGCGACGGAGGAACGGTGTTGATGTCATCGAAGTTGAAGAAGATCAGGTGAAATTTTTATTAGTTAAGTCTTTAACACCAGAAGAACTTACCTAGGCCTCTCATATTTGTTTTTTTGCAGTTTCAAGTAAAGACACCAGATGATCGAGAAAACAACAAAAAGGATAAAAAAGCGGAAGTATGGTTTGCTGAAACATACGTGAAGTGCAACGGACATTATTAGTCTTTTGACTTATTTTCATCGGGCAAAATAAATCGAAAGATTAATTAATTATCAGTCGCCTTAAGTTTCTTAAGCCTTTCTGAATAAAAGAACACAATTATCTATTTTCATAGTTGAGGCCTTTAATGTCAACTGGTGGTAAATAATTCTGCTTTTAGTTCCAAGGTTTAAAAAACTTTGAAATCAGGCCATTCACTTTTATAACATCATGCAGTTTTCTCGAAGTTTTGTTTTTGTTAAGAGAATTGAATCTTAGAGTCCAATAAACTTTAAAATACTTGTCAAAAGTTCTGCTCCTAGAATGGGGAATTCAGAAATAATACATGGTACGTCAAGATATCTCAAGGAAATTGTGTTATTGAGTAACTTAGCTGCTTGATTATTTGGGCTTCTTTTACCTTACGAATTGCATTGAGAAATGCATTTCAATATTTTCAGGGCGAAGAAAAACGAGCACGAAAGCGGATTCAGCGCATCGATAAGATTGAGAAACCAAAGAAGATGAAGTGTGGTCGAGAGTAAAGTCAATTTTTCAGAAGGAAACTCATGTATGATCTCATTCAGCTTATACATTGCATACTTCAGGTTTATAAATCATTACTCATTGACGTCTAATAACGCAATTGAACAAACAGGGTAGAGAAGACCAACTTACAGAGTAATTCCCAATGATACATACACATCGAAATCGTTTGTACTAGTATGCATCTTCACCGGCACTTAACTGCTCTGATTTCCAGCAACGGCTTTCTTTGATCGAAGGCAATGGCTTTCTTTTCTTTTTTGATCGAATTATGAAAACTTGGAGTGTTTCTATAATTATTTGCAGACCTCTCCATCAAGTTATGCGTACCAGCATGTTTCAAAAAACATTTAGAAAGGAGTTTTAATCAAGGGACTTATATTTTTTTTTTTGACATGGTAACCATTTACTCAATTTAAATTAAATTTATATAGAGATATGGAGAAGCTGAAGAACGTAACTTTCAACGCATCCCATACAAGTTCGAATTGGGTAATGAAAACCAAATCGTTTGAAGAAGTATACCGACTCATCTGAAAGATTGCTTAGTAAAATAATACAAGCCAACAGTCCGCTAAATGGAGCACCAGTCACTTTTTTGAACAAAACATCAGGTCAAAAAAGTACGAAGAAAACGAACCCAATAATTAGAGCAGTGTAGGGCTGATATAATCCAGTAATAGCCTATACTGACTGGCATGCAGTTGCTAGCGTATAAGGTAGAAATAACAAGCTCTCTCCAAGAACAAATTAAACTGTATTTCATGCTTCGACATCCCAAAAACATCTCATAAAATAATGGATCCAAATGACCTCACAATAGTCAGGAATGTTAGTCCATGAAACTTTAAAATGGCTTATCAAAACCGCTCAGATGTCTTGTTCATAATATATTTATAGCACGGATCCTGCTGAGACGTTTCACTATTTAACTTATTTTTCAAAAAGCTTGGTTGTTGATGGAACAATTTGTTTTATGCTTGATGTGCGCAACCAAGGTTATACTTCTCCTGGGATACGTAAAACAACACATGGAAAAGTAAGAAAAGCAACAAATATGACAAAAGAAATTCAAGAGAAATATAGTAAAAGAAATGATAAGTAGTGCAACTGTCTCAGAGACAGTTTGGAGGAGTGCAATTAAGGCTGAATACTACTGACCATGACAATGGATACGAAAACAAAGGTAATGACAATACAATATGACTGGAAGGACAGGAAAAGGTTAGTGTCTTAACCGTAATAAAGATACAAAAGCACTAGCATTTGAAGAATAAACAATAGTTGGAACAGGACTTTACACGTCAACTGCTAGGTCTTCGTTACCCGTCATGACGTTGATATACATTAAATATTAAAGGCAAAAGAGGAAATGTTGGTCACACTGAGTAAATACTGAATTATAGAAAATGATACAACTAGTTATCGATCTTTGTGAATTAAATACGCAAGCACCGACGATAAAATAGGAATATATACTACATCAAAACAGCTCCAGCACTAAAAGTCTTTTCTGGATACTCTATGCCAAGCCAGCGTGCTGTATCATCAATGAAAGGAACTCTCCAATGAATCCCTGGTACAGTCTTTGTTTTCTGAGCTGCATTTTCAGTTAAACTTATTTCATGAAAAGCTTCAAGCACACTTCAAAGCACTTTTGAACGATTAGAAACATGAGAAACAAACACAACTACAACCAATGATCCTAATGTTTTCAAAACGAGAAATTTTAACAGGCACATTTCAAGGAGTGGAGTCATCCATAATAATAACAATAAAAATAATAAAACAGCACGAAACGAATATAATATGCGAACTTTGAAAACATAAAAAGTAAATACAACATAAGAACTTGAGTAAGCCTAAAAACTATCTATAACCACTAAATGAATTAAATACTAATCTACGTAAGATTTAGAAAAAAGAAACTAAATATTATTCCCTTTTAAGATCCTGGATGATGGACGGAAATATCACAGGGATTAGGGAGAAGGAATGAGGAGTATTATTCCAAAACGCCAGACTTTTACTTAAATTTTGACCCCATCTCTAAAATCCCTATTCATAACGACTTGTAAGTGATGCAAGAGGCGATCCCTATTGATAACTTCCTAATAATTTCTTCTCTTATCACTAATATTATACCCTTACTGCTTAGTATCTGTTCCTCGATTTATTTATTAGAAAAACACCTCATCGATTCTTAGGTCCCAGATTAGACAGATAACATTGCAACTGTAAAGCTCCAACCCAAGATATCTGATAGGCCGTGAAAATGAGGAGTTATAACGTAAATGAACAGCAAATATTATTCCCTCAACATTATGTGAATGTGAGTGCTCCTACAAGGAAAACAAACTGGAAGAAATTATAGAACTTTTAACAAAATACAATAACAAGTATAATATGCACAGTTGACTGCAAGGCGCAGTAAGGACCGTCACACAAGGATCACACAACAAAGGAGAATGTAAAAAGGACAACAGACGGTTTTACTGCTATGAATTAATTAAGTATACTGTTGATCTTATCATAACAAACACAATACGCTGCTAAAAAGTAGTTTATGTCTATGATACAGTGAGACAAATCGCCATATCTGTTGATATGGCTGATCGATGTCATATCCACTGTTATTGTATTCTTCAATATATCATATTGTACGGTTGCCTGCAATATAAGATGATGAAATAGCTATCAAAAACATGAAGCTTGATATCAATTATCCAGAATTTTAAACAAAACTAAACTCACTTTTCTGTCGCAATTTGGCTTATACAAGTTAGAAAACACTGAAAAGACCGAGCAGGCCGTCTAAGGGATGAATGAATCAGACATGATAATCTACATGTTATATGTCGGTCTCCTTTTCAAGAGGACCTATAGAAGGTTATGATTGGCGTAAAGTCAAGTGAGAAATAATGAATATAATGTTTCTGCTGATTTTACAGGATATGAACAGTCAACAATTCACTAGCAGAACTTTTAAAAAGTTTACCTCATACAGAGCGTTTCCTGGCTTCGTAACAAATCTCAACTGGTAATATGCAAATGCAGCTTTGGTTTTGGCAACCAAATTCGGTACAAAACCATCTGCATCTTTTGTATCCTTATATTTAAGCAAATTTTCATGCGGAACAAGTCTCCACGCACTTTCCAGCTTTACCTTTAACAAATATAGCTTATTAAGTTAGCAATAAAACCACTATTTAATACCGAAAAATTTCATTCGCATATGAAAAAAACATAATGGAAAATTCTGAATATGTCAGATGTGAAAATAATGCTTGAGGACGAACTAATTTTTGAGAACGTAATATAGTATTGTGAATTTGATCCTACGGTTCACAAACTGTAAAGGATGATAATGACCGTTATATCAGCAATCATAACAGCACAAAGGAAAACGTAAAAAAGCAACAGATAATTTTACTGTTATGAATTACCATCGATCTTATCATAAAAAATACTATGTACTGCTAAAAAGCTCACACGGTACACGTACTGCCTAATGTCTGCAAAACCCAATTTTTTAAGTAAAATTTCATGAAAATAGTTGACAAACCAATTTCAGAGGAGCACATAAGTGTCGCTGAGACTTCGTATGTGAATTGATGGTTTGGACAACAGCTTTACTCAACATCATAGATATATTTGTCTGCTCTCTATTATCCATAGCTGATTCCCAATTCATACATGTACACCAGTGCATTTCGATACCAGCCTTTACATGTAAAATAAAATCCGTAAAATAGTTATAAAGAGAAAGCAAAAAAAAATTGCTCTAATTTCTTTTCTTTTTTGGATACTACTACCTTTCTGGGAAATCCTCGATCAGATATGGAATAGATCATGTGAAAGTTGGGATATACAAGTAATATATTGTAAATAAAATACTTTGCATAATGCAGTTTTAAATAATAATTAACACCAATCGAGTCGTACGAGTTCAGAAGTCATATAAGCATTAATATAACCTTTGAGTATAATATATGTACAAATAATCCACTCAAATCTCGGCGACACCAATATTTACCAATAAACAAAGTACTCAGAAAGAACCTCTTCACATGTTCTTGATGGAGGAATTGGCCTAAAAAGTGATAAGGAACGGGTTTTTACATCACCCATAGTATTCAACTCCTGTTCTGTTGGCCAGTGAAGTATATCAAGCAATGTAGCGTGTATGTCGAATGGAGTTACCAGTCTGAAACAAGAGTACGAAAGGTAAATTAAACAACCAGTAAAGCTATATAAAACCCAGCACAAGAGAAATGTGACGATGATAAACTACAATTGGTAAAAACTGCATCACTTGCACAACAACTAGTGAAATAGCTACAGGAAAAAAAATTTATGTAAATGAACACTTTCAAATAATGAACCTCGCTTTATTAGCTTTCAAATTCTTCCATGCTGTCCTTCCTCTATCGCTTTCTCTGAATTTTTTCGGAAGTGAGAGGGAAAAAAATGGAAGCCTTTCTTCCAGCTGCCCTTAAAATTGTACATCTATATCATCTTCCCAAAAATCCCTAAGCAATAAATAAGCAGATATAAAATCGAAAATTTTCAATGCAAATATTCAAAAATCCAAATCTTTCCTCTGAACAAACCTTGATGAGTGGCACGAAATTTCGCAAAACGATGTCCGTGATCGGCCATTACAATGACTAAAGCATTATCCAGAGCACCACTTTCTCTTAATTTTTTGAGATTTAACATCGTATCCTCATCAGCAACTTCCACCAAATTAACATCATCATGGCTTAATGCACTGTGGAATGCAAGTAGGAACTTTGATGTATTATATCCATATCTCTCCATGAACTCAGTCGTATATCGAAACCATTCCTAAAATACATGAAGCATAATGAAAGTAAAACACATCAGAATCACCAAAAACCATACTGCAAAGCATGTATATTACTGATGAATGGATGAATTATCCAGTGCCATTTTTTAAATGTTTTGTTTTTTGCTCAATGTCATTATTTGCTTTCCTGACTGATAAAAAAAAATTTTTTCAATTACAATTTTTCTACAAATTTTCAGGTCAGAACTGAAGTGTATAAAGTTCCCATTTTATAAAATTGCTGTCTAACACAAAATAGACCACAATTTTTGGGAAAAAAATCAAGATTAGAAAGTGAGCAAAATTAAAGAAAGACCTTGTGCATTGGCACCGAACCTAAACACTGCAAATTGGAAAACATATCTTCCGCTTTTTGAAAAAACGTCCGCAAGTAATGATCCGTTGGTTGATGTTTAAAACCCTGAAAACTTTGATTATATAAATTCCGACTTACAGTCTCATGTTTTTTGAGTCTTTGCCTTTAAATTAATGCAGGCAAATTAAACGAAAAAATAAATTCTTACCTTAAGACGATATGTAAACGTCCCGAGTTTTGCTGAGTCCTCCGCATACAACGTTACATAACCGGCTTCAGAAAAATTTTTCCATACAAACGGATATACTTCATCAACATAACTTGCTTCTACGAAACGCTTGCTAAAGAGGTTATTGAATGCCGTTACGTTTGCTAAAGAGGTTATTGAATTGCAGTCATTGAATGCCTCTTAATTTTGTGTATTACATTAGGGGAAAGTGTTTTTATTTGCAAAATATGGTATATTTAAACTACTTCAAAGAAAAATCAACCCACTGTGTCCTTCAAAAAGGATAGGAGTAATATTCAGAATGGTAGTAAATAAAAAGGGAAAAGAAATTTCTGTTGGAACCTTAAGGCAGAGTAGTGAGGTATCTGAGTGAATATTCCGGCTGAAAGTGTCATTAACTTTGATCTTCACAACTTAAAAAATCTCATCGAAAGAAAAGCATTTTATCATTTCCTATACATGGAAAAGTGGACAGGTATGGTTTTTTTCTGAGCTAAAAATGGATAAAAGAGACCGAAAATGAGAAAAATGACCAGCTTATAGATGTGATAAAAACTTAACCGTGTGAGAGGCAATTCCTCTTCGGTCTGCCCAGTTAGAATCGGTATGAATGCTTGCGGAGTACCATCTCCAACAATGTTGTATCCTTAAAAATTTAATGGAGCTAAAAGCATCGAGTTCCTCATAAATTAACTCAATAAAATAACTGAAACTGTACTCATATCTGTTTTGAATATCGCCAAATCAACAGAAATAATAGGTTAAAACATGACTGCATTCCTGACACGAATATAGATAAATATTCAACATCATCACTGAATTTAGTCAGCTGTAATTCGGCTGCCTAACAGTAAACAAAAGATATGTTTCTTTTTTGATATTATTAAATGAATGCTGCGCACCGTCAAGCACAACTGCATCGAATTCTTCTTCAATATATTTGACTGTTTTCGGCAGTTTACGTCGAAATGACATCTGAGACAAGGAATCGAAGCCTATAAAAACATAATAATCTTCGTTCCTTAATAAATACAAGCATATTCTGTATATTTCTAGCAATAAATTCAAAGAACATATCCATACCTATGAAATAAACATCAAGACCTGACCAGTCGGCAGGTTTTTTGATATAAGACAAATCTTCCTCTCTTTTCCGAACCGGAACAATCGTCCATAGTAAATGTTTCCTTCAAAAACGAAGTTTTCTGAATTAAGAGCACTTTTATTTTTCCTGTTCTTGATATTCAAATATATATAGATGTTAACAGTCATGAGATTTCACGACTATTAGCATCTGTATCTGATTTGAATCAGTAAGCACAGAAAATATTTTTTGGTCTCTAAGTCATATTTGACATTGATGTGAAATGAATCTTAAAACCTCAAATAATGTAATATCTTTAGCATGACTGATGCTTTTTAAAATTCCGGTATCACTTATAGTTTCTTAAAACATCTTCCAATTCCTTTCTTGGACTGGAATTTCGGTACAAAATCTTATGAGTTAACAATGATTTTACAGGTATTCTACTGTATATTTAAACCCATTGCAATGAAATTCACAATACTGGAATATGATCTAATCAGAAATTACAAGTCAGAGAAAGTCAAGAAGGATCAACTAGCTTTCAAAAAGTTCATCTCAACGAAAACAAACCACTTTTCTTGATCATCTGCAACGCATTCCACAACAGCATAATCTTTGATCATAGGACTACCAGATGTTATTGGAATTCGATGGTCGATTTTCAATTTATTGTCATTAATGCGTTCAAAATAGGCAATAGTACATTTGATATCACCATGGAGTCTATAAAATTTTAACAAAATTATTTAATATTTACGGAAAAGTGGGAAAGGAAATTAATATGGAAGCCAATTCGACAGTTATTGTAGGACAAAACAAAAACAGTGACTGAACCAATTTTACCTGATAGCATCAGATGATATAGTGAACAATCCCTTTTCGTCAACATAAACCCACTCTTTATCTTTATTCTTACCGCAATCAAGAGCGTCAACATGATGGAAAAACCCAATAATTTCACTACCATTGATACTTAACTTCGGAATGCGACAAGCCTGAAAACACATTCGTTGAAGTAGATCGATATTTGAAATAAAAAAAATGGAATGCGGTGTGGTACCTAACATCTGTGATGAAACGAATGCAAACTGAATAAAACTGTACATCAACTATTAGCAACCTCTCTACAGATGATCCATGACAGTAAACATGAATGTCATTAAACCATCCGCGAATAGGTATCTATATAAAAAAATAGATAAAATTAACACCTGCTCAAATTTTCGAGAAAAGCGACTTCGAGTGATCGATTTCCGCATCTCAGCTGTATCAGCACCCAATACTATTATATGAGGCAACTGGAAAATATGGAAATATAGAGTAAGTCACAATGTGTAAATAAAATAAAAAAAACAGAAGTTCAAAATAAAGAAAAGTGGTGTTTTAAAGAAACGACCCAAAGTGGAGTCCGCAAAGCTGACAAAATCATCCATTTCCTCATGAAAAAATCAGAGGTATGAAGATTCCATGCTTAAGTGAGTGTGCCGTGACAAATCAAATTTTCAGATGATGTATGACAAAATTTTGCACAGATTAACATAAGACTGCAGTTGCAATCATGCTTCGCAGAAGCAATTTCAATCTCATTCTATTCCATACGCTAACTTGAATTATGAGAGAGATAAGTCAGCTATTTCTATTATTTTAAAGATAGAAATTAGGTATAAAAAACAACCGATGGATAAGCAATAGGCTCCTCAATCCAATATGCTGTATCTGTTGAATATTTCGAGGAATATGTAAAGAAGATGAATAATATAATGAAAGTAATAACCGGAAGTAGAAGAATACGGAACAGTTTTCTCAGGTGCTTCGGAAACTTGCTAATCTTGTTTAAATCTAAAAAAAATAAAAAAACAGAAATGTTTTACTTCCAAAAATGTAAACGACACGAGTATTCCTCCAGTTTAGATGAACCAAACTTTAAAATGAAGTTCCCCCTAAATTTCGGAACTCAAAAAAGAACCATTTCAATTGCTAATATCCAAGATCGATGTCGATAGAGGAAACTGCTATATGCCTAAGTGATAAAAAATAATCATTCAGACCGTTTTTTGCCTTAAGCACCTCAAAACAGAACACGAAAATGATATTACCATTTATTATCCGGGTAAACAAAGTTTTATTCCTGAAGGTAGTTCCTGAGGCATGTATCAATTTTGTCTTATAATCTGATGCCTGCAAATTAAAGAAATGCAAATTCATGTCTTTTATAACAGCATACTACGCCTCCACTTGAGACGGTACACAAAATACAAATGTGACAAATTCGTTGCCTCGCATGGATTTTCAATCCATTTATGTACAACATCAATTTCTACAAAATTAAGGACATATTATGAATTTCGTTTTAGTTATTAACTGTAACCATTTCTACAGCATACGACATGTCTGATGTCATAGCTCATATTTCTCCAAACATTTGATAAAATTATCTGACAAAAAGAAAGAGCATGACTGATAATCATCTTTTGAATTTAACATGGAAAATATTCCAGTACTACAGTTCCCTTCCTCTCTTCCGTCACCTTTCCTTGACAAAGTAATTACTTGTAAAGTGCTGTATCAACATCACATTAAAAATGCATGATTATCCTAAAAACTGCACATCAATCAAAGTAAAAAGCAGCTCCTAAATATAGTACAAAATAAAAGAAAAAAATTTCTAAAGTGACTAAAATTTTAAGTTTTGAAAAAATGCAAAAAATTAAAGCATAAAAAAATTAAGCAGGTAAACATGTAAACAATATGTAACCAACAGCAAAATAAATTACTGTAACTGGAAAAAAGTGTAAGAAAATGTGACGAAATACAGACATAAATGTCATCTCGAAAAAGTACCACCAAAACGGCATTACGTAATGAGATATCGTTAGATGATAACACCCGTCAAATAGATGATTCTTCGAGAAATTGATTAGACATATTTAAAAGCAGCCGTATTTAATCTTTTTCTCAGACAAAAATTCTCAGGATTAGATATCAAAAACTGAGAAATGTTAATGAATCAACCGACAAACGATCCACCAAGAAGAATGCCAATTTGTATTGGTTCCATTTCTTGGAAAACGATTTAACTGCTACCAGTACAGCTAATGTAACCCGATAAATGCGATCTATTAATGAAATGGCATGAGATACTAGCAATATTTATAATGATAAGTTATTCGATAAGATCTGCTGGATGAATACATGAAAAGATATACTACTTGGAAATACCAGTGCTCATTACTCGGAAATACCTTATTAATAAAACTTACTACTTCGATAAAAAAAAATCCCCTGAATGTTCAAGAAATCGCTCAATCTCAACTTATCCGTAAGAGATATAGCGCGGTTAATTCAACCTACTAAAATATGAGGATAACAAGACGCGTTGTGGTACGAAATAAGATACTAATGAAACCAAACTAACAGTGTACTTTTTGAAGGGAAAGATTAATTACAGTCAGCTAAAACATCTTTTTTTTTTTCTTTCCGAATAAAAAAGCCTAAAAGTATTTACTGTTGCCAATGAACTTCCATTGCAGTTGCTTACTTTCATAAAAGGAATACGCGTTACTTCTGATATAAAGAATATCGGTTATAAAGTGTTATTTTTACATACATTTAAATTAAGACATCTGACACGATTCATGATCTCATATCCATTTTTTCTGAAGAGCAGCAACTATCTCAATTTCACATAAATTATAAATGGGAAAGTTATGGGGTTTAAAGATAGACAAGAAAGACCATAACAGTCTCATTTATAAATAAAAAGACATCACAAACGATTTCCAAGAAATTAATTTAGTGCTGAAAAATGAAAGTTCAAATTGTTAGACTTAGATTACTCTACGATCATTTTAATCAAGAAAGAACTATCTTGACTTCTACATAAAAGAAATTTTTGGATTTGAAATAACGACTGATGTTTCAAGTTCATCCAAATAGTAGTGAAAACTACTAATGTTACGAATATTCTAAATTTTCAGACGAAGTAAAGAACCATGGAATAATGTATTTGATGCAATGTTGCATGCAGTTTGAGGAGAACATTATCTTCATGATGTAGAAAAAAAATCGAGTGGGAGAGGCAGCACTATAGTGAATAAGCAATACATTCTGTTGATTATAGATCATTTCTAGCACAATGACACCTCCAACTGGTTAGAAGCAATCTAAAACATGAATAATCTCCCGTTTGTCATTTCATTTCTTTTCATTCTTTCAAAATTATTCATCGCGGAAATAGACTGCAGTTCCGGATTTGTATGTCATGTAGATTTCTTACATTTTGATCAACGAAAGAATCGAATCGTAACTTTCTTCACGAAAAATTATGTAGACCTGTTTTGTTTCAATCGAAGATTTATTTAGACAAGCATGCGTAGTTGTGTAGGTAAGGTTGTAAAGCGAAGATATTTATCTCTATGATAGATAATCTTCCGTAACATCTTGACAGAGTCGCTTGATATTTCGAGAGAGACTATCAAGTTTCATTCATTCCAAAATATCAAAATGCAAAAATACGTAAGGTGGAATTGGTACATTGCAAGTCAGAATTCATTAGTGATACCAAACAGTTGAGAACTTAGCAAAAATGATGCGTAGCAACAAGAAACAAAAAATGCTCAGAAGGTATGTTATTGAAAACTTAAAATGAAGTGAGTCTTTTACAGTGATTAAAACATTACAACAAGTACGAGAAAGCAAATGTAATTTTATGAGTAATTTACGAGCGCTTCAGGCGCTTGATTTTAATATATATATATCCGTGTAGCAGTTAAAAAAAATATATAAGCAATTAATAAGCCCAGTAACAAATCCAGCGGTCAAGAACTCTGCACTTGTAAATTTGCTATTCAATATGCTGATGTCTCTCCCGTTTTTTGCGTTTCTACTTTTTGACCATGAGAAAAAATGGCACAAAACCAGTGAGGTAAACCTCTTACCCAAAAACGTAATAGGTCACTTTTCCAGGTTTTCAAGCAGGAGAAGATTAGAATTGCTGATAATGAAAAGCTAATTCAACAAGGCTTACATTAATTGTTTTATCGCAGCCCTTTAATCCAAGTTGTCCATATCTTGTTGAAGAGGACATTTCACTTGTTTGAGCTGGATCGATAAATTTTTTCATTATCCAGTGCACTAAGTTTTTCCCAACTTTGCTACAGCCTGTAACGGAAAGTGCTCATTAAAATCGGAGACGAGCATTCCCAATTCCGACTTAAAACTGAAATTGACGACTTTAGCTCAATGCCAGATTTGCTATATGTTTGGACTAAGTACTTGACAGAATGGAACCCACACATACGCATTACATATGCACACAGACACACCCCAATATTAATCCAATTCGCGTCTCTCCCTACTCTCTGAACTATCTAAACTACCCGCCCCTCCAATTGTTCCACCTCATCCGATGTGCGGTATTGACTTCGATGTTTAGGAGATCTACTCTTGTGATTTTAAAACGTGTGATTTACATAGTTCAGGGGAGCAATACCGAATGCACTAAAGACAGCCTATGGCAGACACTGAAGAAAAAAGGAAGCGCGTGTATATTCTCGGAGTTCTATAGGCTTTCTTACCTGGTATTTAGTGGTCGTCCGTATTTTTTCAAAATCACTTCGAGCAAATTTGTGGGAGGTTTTTTAAAGGTTTGTTGTGCGAGGTGCTCAGACTGTTCCATTCGCACTTTTTTCTTCAGTTGCGGTGCCTATTGAGATGGCTGCAGCTACAGTGAAACAAAATATTCATGTGAATGCCGAGGACCAGAAACTGATCAATCGGTTCGCGAGACTTCATCAAAGATCGCTAGATGTTAAGGTAAGATAGACTGTATTTTTTAATTAAAGCCTTCAAATATCTAAGAATTTTTTTCAATAAGTCTTACCTAAAGATATAGGTTTCAGTTCACTAGTGGTGAATTTCTTCTGGTTCCCATCATGATCGAAACAGATCAAGAATAGGGTTCTCAGGCACTCTCTTAAAACTGCCCCAGTATAACCTCAAATTTTACTTCCCTTCACGAAATACTATTGCCTGTGATATTATCTTGTACCTATTGGTATTAGATCTTGAAGTTCAAATATTGCAGAATCTTGCTGCTGTAATATGCAGAATTCGCTGTTTATTTTTTCAGGAGAGGCTTCAAGAAATGAATAAGGATCTTCAAAATTTGAATGACGCCGCTGATGAAATACTGCTTTTGGATGATGCAGATACCCAATCGATACCGTACAAGATTGGATCAGTGTTTGTGCATATGGATCAAGTGAGCAATGCATCCTCATTATAATAACCTGCTGTTACATTAAAACTGAACAACATTTCTGATTGGTATTGGGCTTAGCTATTTATTTTGCTTATATTATGTAGTGCATAGTAAAGGCAGAAGGAATGCCATAGTTTCTGTCCATAGCTTCTAGATATCTTTCTACAGGATAAAAATAGGCAAAGTAATTACTTTTTTGAACCGTATATTTGGCTTTGGATTTCAAGGGAATTTTTATTTTATGATGCTGTTATTTATTTTATAGGAAAGATTAAACGAGAAGTTGGAGAATGTGAAAGGAGAATTGGGAAATCAAGTGGCTGATCTCGCACAAAAGCATAAAAAAATTTGCGATGAAATGGATTCTTTGAAATCGATACTTTATGGGAAATTTGGCGAAAGTATCAACTTGGAGACTGATGCGGATAGTCAATAGTTATTGAGCGAGACATCATTGTAGCATAAAATTATCGAGACATTCAATATATGCTGCAATGATCGTGGCATTCAGGGAACATTACGGTTTTGCATATTAGTGACTTTTTTATGTTAAAGGAGCTGAAAACCAATTTTTATTCCAAGCTTTTCTGTGCGGTAGGATCTAAAATTTATTTTTTTAATACCACCGTCTTTTTTCAATATTTTTTTGCGGAGTACAAAAATTTTGCAGTTAAGATTTAGAATTTTTCATAATGGGTTCAGATGATTTGAGGTTGGGTGACTATCTAAAATGGATTTTTCAAGATGATTCTGATCATCTCAGTAGGTTGTTCTTATATTGAATGAACAACGCATCAGATCAATGAGAAGGTGGTTTTTAATTTTTTCGGGTAAAACTTTTAGGCATTTGTTTGCAAGATTCATCACCAATATTAAGGTTATTTCCTTTTCTCTGCTTTACATCAGGTTTCATATTCGTTTTTATGGAGAAACAGAAGTTTCAGAGAATTTCAGTAATAAGTACTGGTTAAGGCCGGTGTATATTTTGCTTGTCGTTTGCAGTGAATGTCACATTTTTATGTTGTTTTTGCAGTTCTAGTGCCATGTCTGTACAACAAAGTTAAACTTTTTCCATCTCGTTCACTTTACTGTTATTCTTAAAAAGAGTGCTCATGAAAGCAGCTCGAAACTAATTATATGATATCATATTTACTTCTCCGGTACTTTGTATATAATATTCTCCATAAACATGCCAGCTTCCGTTAAAGTAATGATATCTACAAATATTTTAGGCATGTGTAGTATTCATTGTGTGGTTGCATGGTACTTGTAAGTAGGAAGCCGGACTGAGTAGGATGACATCATCTTTCATACTTCGAAATACACCATTTCGATGTCTGTTCTTGTTTATTGACTTGAAACTATTCTTTATCATAAAATTTTTTCCACATTAATAACACGACTTAATTTTTCATTTATTCAGGAGAGAAAAGAAGGCAACATCTCACTTTATAGGGGAGGAGAGGAAGGAAAACGGAAAGCGAGGCTTTTTTATATCTCGCCATATATTAGTCATTTAACTACAATCTCCTGGAATTATATAAACAGAACAAATGATTAAGTTGTATTCCTAGCAAGGACTGATGTAAAGATTAAACGGATGATATTTTAATGGTGAGACTGGTGTTGTGTAATAAAATGCCAACCAAATCAGTGTGAAGTATCAGCCAATGTAAATAATACTGGTTTGCTGGAAAACGTAAGAAGCCATTGCCCTTAGTATTGGTTGCTACAACAAAGAAGCTTATGGCTTGAGAGGTAAGTATGCTGTAGTTTTCTCAAAGTATTGACTTTCATTTCAGTCATCTGATGTATTCTGAGAACAGTCGAACTTATCTCAAAAAGCAGGGACAGTGCCCTGAAATTCTTTCTGTAGTTCTTAGAAGTTCAAATACTGGTACGTCGGAATAATTTATGACTGTGTCCTTTTTCAAGAATTTTGATTGCAGTATGTGTGCATTCATTGTTAGTGTTTTCAGTTTTGACTGAAAAGCTCTTCAAAACTGGCTTCTTATTTATCAAATCCTAGAATGGAATTAATTATTAGAGAAGGTTTAATTACATCGTTAATAATGCATTGAGAGCTTTATCCCTTCATTTTCTCTGCTCATTTTGCATTCTCTCATTTGCATAGAAATTGCATTCATTTTTTACTTATTTATAAACCCCTCCTAACTTTTTATATAAGATTTTAATTTTAATTTTAATTTCTTTCCACTTGAATGCATGTTAATTATTTCCTGCATTCAAATCACTTATATAAAGTGATATTCCATATTGTCAGTGGAATTGGAAAGCAATAAACACATGAGAATTATTGGTGCGCAATTCTCTATTTTCTCTCTAAATATTGAGAGTTATTTCATGGGACTTAATGGTACTTCATTGATATTTCATCGCGTTGCTATGCAATAATACGAGATTTTAATGTTGGGTGATGTAGAAATATCAATACGAGATTATAAGAATGAGTGACATAGAAGTGCGGGAAAAGATACATAAATTTTCAATCTAATTAAGATCTGCCATGGTTAATTAGCGAGGACAGTAAATAGCTATTTTATTAAAAGATCCATTTGACAGTGCATCATAAACTTAAAAAGAAGCATCGTCAAAGAGTTAGCTTTTCTCATTTTACATGGAAATTTATAGGGAAACACAGTAAAACAATGGAGCAACTGGTATGGTATTTTTTTTATCGCTGCCAATTGTATTTTTGTTGTAAAACAGTGAGAGGTATAGAATCCTTCCTTAATACTACTGAGAACTATACAATAACTATTAACATGCCTTTTACCAAAATTTTTCTGCAATTCATTTACATTAAGATAACCCTGTTATACGCGATGACGCACAAAACAGGAATTGCAAATTTGTTCTGCTATGTTTTATCAATTTCGAAGTAAAATGGCGGGACTCGATGCCAATTATAAAGTGGTGGGATGATATTTACACTACAATTGTATTATCAGTACTTTCATCTTTGACATTTATTTTTAAATAAGGGTTTCGTTTCCATCGAGTTTCTGTTTTATTAAACCAGCGAAAGTTATTTTATTAACCCAAAAGGTTTCAACTTTTCAGAAGACAGATTACGGTGTTATCACTGGCAGTGTTATCACTACTTTATAATTAACCAAAAGGTTATCACTAATTTTCGGAAAATGATGCACATTTCTTATCATATGTTAGAATGAATCACGACGTCAGCATTTTATGATGAATCTTTATCTAATTATTGGACTCCATACGCAATTGTGTGAAAATCCTTGTTTAATTGTTTTTTCTTCTCGTCTACTACGTATCTTATCATTGTTTGTACTAAATATAAAATGAAAGTGGTGGATCAAAATGCATTTCTCAATCAGATTGTAGTCACTGGTAGTAGTTAACTTTTCTGGATGGATAACGGATTCCAATCTTTTCGATTTGTCATATTGCTTCTTCGAGAAAAGGTAAAAAGAACTTGGATGAGCAAGATAAAATTTTGCATGATAAAGCTGCAGACCTAAAATTACAACCATTAAAGTAATTTCGATCAAGATTTGATTTGCTAAAAGGTGTTCTGCTGAAAAACAAAATTTTCATCAAATCTTTGTTAACGGTTTAGGTCTGCACAAATTATGTCAATTAACTGGGATCGTCCGAGACCTATAGAAAATTTCATCTTCTGAATAAAAAAATTTTTTATTAAATGAGATCCCTTATTCAGTATTTTATATTTGTGGGTGTGCGTAAATATCCTGCTCTTCTATGGTAGTTCGATTCCTATTCTGTACGGCGGTAATAGAATGTTGACCTTAATTCATTCAGAAAACTTAATTTTTGAAACTCTCGACGAAATGACTATTTTCTTTCAATAGTGGCAGTTAAATCGATTGCACCAACACGATAATAGTGCTACTTTCGGCTGTTCACCATGCATATTTCTCCAAGATGATTCCAAAATTTTGTGAACATTTGTTGTTAGGGTATAACAGTACCACGATTAATTTTCAAGTTTTTTGAAAAATGGATTGTAGATAATCTTTGTTTGAAACAGAGAAGACGTATTGAAATAAGTTCTTCATTGGTACTGACTGATTTGTGCTACTTTCCAGTAATGTTGACAGTTTTATTATTAGTCCAGAATTAATTTTAAAAAATAGAGAATTGAGAAAAAGGATGAAAAATCAGAAGAAAGGAAATTTTCATTATCGTTGATAATTCTAACACAGGCATCTGGAAGTGGTAGTGGATGAATAGAACATGTGATTCTTAATTATCGTGTTTAAAATGATACTGTCCCATTATTCACTCACTGTTCTATTACCGCACCATTATACTAAGCAGATGAAGATGTCTTTCTTTCTTTTTCTTGTCAATTTTCCGACATCTGGTTTCAACAGAAGCAATGCGATATGTCACATACTTGGTATTTGTCGAAATTCAATGAAACGTTATAATACTAAAACTTAGGTAAAAATTCCAATTTTGTTTAGACTGTGTCATACGAAAGTTAATGAGAAACAACAGTGGCGAAAAAACCGGTTTTTGTCATTTCTCGCTGGTGTTTGTATCGATTTCCGAATTTACAAAAATTAGTGATTTTAATTCTTCCTGTTTTGGAAGCTTTTTTATTATTTATTGGGCGTTATTTTTGTTTGTTTGAGCATCATAATTAAGTTAATATTTTGAAACGTTTAGGAAGGATAGACTTCATCAGTTTTCATGTTCTGATTCCTGCCTTAGGTAGAGAAATTCTGAGATAGAACGTGACTTAAATTTTTTTGTAAGCCTAGAAAGGCTACCGTTGTGATAATGAGAATTTTCTGTTCTTCTCTTTCATTGGCATCTTGTGACAAATTCGCATCTTTCCTTTTGTATGCTTGAAAGCCTTGTAGTTTTTGAGTAACAGAGGAACGGCTGTGAAATGAATGGTTAATTGAAAAAAATCTGCAAGTTGATAACTTCACGTAATAAGTGAATTGATGCTATTCTTTCATCTCAAATACTTCAAAGTATATTGTAGTGAAAAGGATGCTTACATGCCCTCATTATACCTTGATGAAGAAAGCTTGACAAATATTTGGATTTCCTAATATTTAACGCTTATATACGTTTGTTTGTACTCGATCATATATATTCAAATAATTCTCACTGTGAAAGATTGTACTGCAGTATCACGAAATGTCACATGGAAATTCTCCGCCACCAGATCGAACATCTCTATCTACTCCTTTAAGCAGAGAGCTCGTTAATATTCTGAAAGAGTCTATGGGAAGTATCAATACCGACCCATATGTTTTTGTTGTTTTCGGTGCTTCGGTAAGTTGGTTATATTTAAACTGAAAGTCACTTGCGATATATGCAATTATTTTATATATAGTTTGAAGTGTCAGGGGACTTATTTTACATTTTAATTTTTCAAGTCACTTAGCGGAGAAATTCACTAAG